TGAGGTGGTAGCCCAGATAACTTAAAAGGTCTTTTGGGGGCCGGGGATGTAGCTTCGTGGTACCGCGCCTGCCTGGCAAGCACAAAGTCTTGAGCTTGATCCCCAGTACCAGACAAAATAAATAAAAGGTCTTCTTGGCCTACAAGATATGTGGAAATTCTACCCCATAGTCCACTTCCCTTTTTGCTTTTTGTTCTTGGTATTTACAAGTTGATAAAAATGTCTAGCATATTAGCATCTACTGTGTGGTTGGAGTTGTGTTGAGCTCCTCAGCACAGGATCTCACTGTAGATGCTCTTGATTTCACCAGCAACTCAAATTCCTTTGCATAAACAACCCAGAAAACAATAAAGGTGAGGCTGACAGGTGTGTCCTAGGAAAAAACAAATTTCAAAAGCCACGCACATTTGAGAACAGTAATACTTATTACATAAGTAATTTCTGTTTGGAGCAGGGTTCTTTTAAATAACAAGTTCAATCTGTAAATCTGAAGGATGGACAGCTCCTTGGGGAGGTTATCTGTTCTGTTAAACAAGGCACACCTCACCACCTACTTCTGGGTCAGATTTCCTCCCAAGTCCTATGTAGCAAAGGAGAATGAGAGTTTGCCCAGTGGACTCATGAGGTAAGAACAAAAACAGCCACTGGGTTTGGTCATTACGGTGTCATTGGATATCATCCAAAGGAGCAGTTTCTGCATTAGGTCGGGATGGGGCAGACAAACTCTGTCACAAAGGCAGTACTTAAAACCAATTTTGTTTTGGAGTGGGTGCAGTTGGGGGTTGAGAGATCAATAGAAAAAAAAAAGGAACTTAAGTGACTTTTTCAAAAAGATTAAATGAGACGAAGGAAGATTGGAGTGATGTAAAGACAAGGGTGGTGGGATTTCTTTTTCCAGGTAGTGAACCAACCATATTTCGATAGACTCCAGGAATGAAGCTGTGTGAGCAGGGGGTGTTGGAGATGCAGAGAAAAGAAGGTATAATTAATTGAGGCCAACAGTGCACCTCGGTGAACTTGTGGGTCAAGGACATGGATGAAATACGTATTATCTTGGGGGAAAAGGTCCTTGGAGACCTGAGGAGTGGAGGCGAAGGTGGTACCCAGTAGATGGTTATCGAGGAAGCGGAATGTTTAGGAAGTCACCACTGGATGCTCTTACACCTCGCTCCTACTTCAGGAAAAAGGAAATCTGCTTAGCATGGTAAGTTGGGGATGAGAATGGATGCGTAAAGGAATGGGAGAACTGACTGGGATAAAGGAAGTACCCGAAAGGGTGGCCACACTGTTGAGACAGCCCTGAGGCGGCCAGGACATCTTGCTGAGTGCCACATTTCTAGTATTCCACCCAAGTGTAAGTTCCATAGGTGTCAGACCTGGACATGTTTCCCCACGGGGCTCTGCCGTTGTGTTCCAGACTCTACTGCCCTCGCTTTCATTTGGAGACTTTTCCACTGTGCTCTTTAGAACACCTGCTCTGTTATAAAGAAATCTCCCAGTATTCTTAGCCTCTTTTCTGAATACTCGGGTGATCTCAAGGTTTAAACAAACACCAGATGTCCTTGGAGATTGAGTCTCCTCCCTCAAACTGCTGTTCCTGCTACAACGAAAACATCTAAACTTTTAGAGTGTTTCTTCTGTAGCAGGAATCAAAGCACTTTGAGCATATTAGCTAATTTAACCCTTGTAACACAGCCCTGTGTGTGGCACTTGAGAACTGAGATGTACTGTCCTGACTTTCTTCAGGTTGAGGCTGTTGAATTTCTTTATACGTCAGCTTCATTTCCAAAAGTGCTGGTGTTCCCAATTCCTGAACTTTTTTTTTGGTACCAGGGATTGAACTCCGGATCTTATATTTGTGAGGCAGGTGTGGTCCCACTGAGCTAAATCCCTGGCCCTCCAATTCCTAAACTTGTAAGTTTTGTGTTGCATACCTAGGTTCTTGCACAAAGTGGCTTTGTGCTTCATTTGTTTGGGTTGCTGAGTACACTAGTACTTGTTTCTGTATCTTTTTTTTTGGGGGGTGTCTTTTTTTTTTTTTTTTTTTT